AAAATGCTATTAGATGTATCAGAAGGTGAGTAATTTGCATGTAAACTTTTGATATCTCAAGTATCTGACTTCTGGGAGAGAGCTGCATATATTTTGAGTGCGTTTTTCTCTGTGCGTGTTGAGATGAGTGTTGGGGAAGCATGAGATTTTAGAATTTTTCCAAAGCATCTGTGAAAAAATAATAGGGTAATCGCGGTCTGCATATTGTATAGGTCTAAATTAAGATTTGAAGCAAGTTTCTCTATGGATGAGATGTGTTGGGGAAGGATGGTCATGTTATTAGTAAATAATAATGATGAGGGCTGAAAAGCCAGAACTGGACCTTATAGTTGTAAATGGAGGAGTTGGTATGATTTAATCATTTAACTGAGAAAATACTATTTCTAGAAATTTGGCAGATGTAATAGTTATTTAGTGGCACCTAGCATCTGCTTTAATCTGCACCTAAAAGTACAATTGCACGAATTTAATAAAAACATTTTCTGACTTAATTTTCTTTAAGAAAATCAAACATTCGCAGATGTAGTAATTTCATAAACACAAAGTTGGCAGTGTATTTGGCTGGTAAGGTAGGTAACGTGTTGTGTAGAGCAGAGAAAATTTGATGCAGTTTATAAGTTCACAAGAAATTTGACTTAGATGCTGTATTTTTAAAGATTGGTTTTACTGTGCCTTTGTAATTTTAAAAAAAGAAGAAAAAAGAGAAAACACGTTTTCCAGTTTATTCCCTGTTTCACCATAACGAATGAGATATTAGGTATCTGTGCAGAAGTGTTAACCAAAGCACTTATTGAAATTTAAGGAAAAAAAAGTACTCTGTACAGCTGAGCACAGACTGTGTTAGCACAGCAGCTCTGCAGATGGTGTGAGCGCTACAAAGACTGTAGTGTGGACCTGGGATTTTTTTTCTCCTGGATTGAAAGGCAGGGCTTGTTAAAACTCTGGTGTTTTTGTTTTAGCACTTTTCTAAAAGACCATTGACTTCATTAATGCCTATGAAAGCCTAGTTCAGCAGAGACATGCTAAAAGTAGCTGCATTGCAGTCCAGCTCAGTGCTCTGCTGAGTGTCAGTCAAAACAGTAGTAGGTGCTGGCTCAGTGGCCGAGGCAGGGCTTCATTCATTTGTTTAGAGGAGCGGGCAAGAAGTCCGTGTCCCGTGAGTGTCCCAGTCTCTGCCCGCAGCAAAGCATAACACAGCTGTAGTTTTTCTTACAGTAGAAATGTGTACGCTATCACATGTAGTACGCATACCTTTTCATAAAGGTGCTACTAGCAGTTTGTAGCACCGGTTTTGACCGCTCATGCTAAAGCTTGTAGTATACTTGCTTGGGGCCGAGATAGTAATTTGAGATTACATGCCACCTTTGGGAGCAAATAATATTGGCTTGTACAATAGCAAATTATTGGTGTTGCAGCTTCAGTGTCAGCAGTGTAAAATCCACAAGTACTGAGAATGAATGAGATTTTTTTTAAAGAGAGAGAAAAATACGTAACAATATTAATACTCTGCCTATAAATGAAACATTTGTGATGATCACAAAAACCAAAATGATTCAACATAGCGAGTTCATGTCACAGAAATATAGACTTCTGGGAAACTTGTATTTCTGTGAATGGTTTGTTGGTTGTTGGTTTGGTTTTTGGGTTTTTTGGGGTTTTTTTTTTGTACAGATGATCTGTAAAGCAATCCTATCCAGGACGAGGTTAAAGAGCAGTTTTCCTCTGAGGCAGTTCATACCAAGAAGGCCTCCCTTGCGAGGAATAAGCTTTCCTTTTTAATGATTGCTCTGTGAGATTAATATTTTTCTTGACCTGAAGGCACACTGAACTTTCAAACAAAGCCAAGCGCAAGGCAGTAGAACAGCAGAAGGGGACACTGAACAGAAATGTTAGTAGGTTTTGTAATTTATTATAAAGTTTCAGGCAAATCTCAACCTGAGCAACCAGTTAACTCAGAAAATGTTTTTCCTGTCCCTGTTTGAAGTGAAGTCCCACTTCTCAGTTTCTGACAGTAGCACTGTTACCTTTCCTCTGTTCCCAAACAACCGTGAAATGAGCAGGTTAAAATGAAAGATGAACTCTGAAGACGGTAAATATTTTTTCTATTTTTTCTTTTAAAAAATCCAGTAGGGTTATTGTGGAGGTTGTTTTCTTTTGTCCTTGAACTTTTGAGGTTCAATTGAGACGATTTGACATCTCACCTTGAGGTTTATTGCAGTTCAGCAGAGTCCTAGCTATATTGTTTTAGCAAACATTTTCCAGGCTGTGGGTTGTATGTTATGCAACTGTAAGGACTGTGAAATACTCAGAAGGACTGGCACTGCAATTAAATAACGTATACAATGGTATGTTTACGGCACTTCTGGAGAACTGCACTGTCAATTCACAGGCGTCCTTAATGGCTCCTTAATGAACGTACCGCACAGAGGAGTTCTGGGTGCTTTTGTCAGATCAGCTGCAAGTTTTGAGAAGGGACCTTGAAATACATGAACAATGTGTCAGTGATAAATATTAACCACAGTTCTCAATAGAGGAAATAGATTATGTTTAATGGTGTGTGCTGAGTCCAAAATGATTAATTTCAGGACCAGGCCGCAGCGGTCACCTGGATTCTAGTTGCTGATTCAGCTGTTTTGTTCATGAGTGTTTCTGACGGTGTGCTGGCCCAGGACAAACGCTTCATCTGTGGAAAACCTGGCTTGCTTGGAGGGGGAGGCAAAGGCTTTCCCTTTGTGTGTCTTCCTCCCCCCCATCTCCAACCTCCATCCATACAGTTCTTGGGAAATTTACTTCCTTGCATCTTTGAAATAAAGCCTTTGTTCCCCAGTTGAGTCCATGGTTGGCTGAACTTCTTAAAACTTCTGGAGCAATACACATTGAAGGTAATTCACACATTAAAGATAACTTGTTAAACGTGCCCATAGTAAATTGAAATAAACTATGCTATCATTTCAGAGCCATCTCAGCTTCAGGTGCACTTGACTTACAGCTGCTGTCCAAACCTCTCGACTTCTTCTGAAGCATACAAAAATGTTTTCTGCTATGCTTTGATATATTGGTTGGTTTTGGCAAATGTATCTAATAAGGCATCTGGTTGTGAAGACTATGTTCTCGCATGCAGATTTTGAAGTTTTGCTGTGCTCAAGGATTCTTCACAGTTAAAGTATGTTTAAGGGAAGTGGGTTTTTTCCTCTTTTTTCTTCTTTTTCCTTTGTACAAACTAAGTGATTAGTTTATTAATTACCCTCTCAAAAAATAGATGCCAGTCGAATATATTTCTAAGTTTGGCGTCTGTGTTCCAGACAGGGAGGAAACACCACACTTTCCCATATCCTGATGGAGTTTTGTCAGAGAATTTTGCACACAGTATCAACAATACTAAGTTGCTACAAGTATTTCAGCATGAGGAGAAGCTGTGTCCTGTTCACCTGGTGAATCCTGGTAGTTCCGTACTAAAAACTGGTTTATTTGTGTTACAGACTTTAGGGAGGTGTTTGTCCCTTAATCTGCTCCATCGCGGGTTGTGTCCTCAGAATACATGCTATAAAGCAACACACCTTTCTCTGCTTTGTTGCTGTTACTGATTAAATCACCCTTATGAAGATATCCTTTTCATGCAGCAAACAATACGCAGTATTACTGACTCTCAACAACGTCGTTTTCTTTGCGTGCACATTTCAGCGTATGGTTTCCCTGAAGCATTTGAGGACAGTGGGTGAGGCCTGTGTATTTGCTCAGCAGGATTAAACAAAGAGATAGTGCTGTTTGCAGACTTCGACAAGCTGAAGTGCAGCAGCTGATGGGAGTTTTTGTTGGGTGAACTCAGTAGCCTGTTTGAACAGCAGAAATGAATCCTTTTCCTGGAGGGGAAGAGGTAACTCGGTGGAGTACGTAGCGCCAGGGTGTCATAGCGCGTGTTGTGGGCTCTTTTCAGGGGGAGGCAGGATGGGTTTTTCTCTGAACCAGATGGCCGGTTTCTCAGAAAAGTGCATTAATACCTAGTGGCAAAACCCGGGGGCCTTTTTTGATCTTTCTTTTCACTAATATGCTTAATCTTTCCTTAATCTCTGAGCTGACGTTGTCCTTTCTTTTCGACAACAGTACTTGCTGCTGCAGTCTGGCTGCTGTTGGCTGTGACTGATAAATTAGTTCAGGACACTCAAAATCAAATGATAGGTAGTATTCCAGGTAAATAGCAGTGGTGGCAGCCAGCTAATAAAATGACAAAAACCAAGTGCAGCTAGCAAGAAGAAAAACAGAGCTCCTGGGTAACTTTGTAGTAAGCTCAGGCATTGCGGTTAGTGTGACTTGGCAAAGGAAGCAAATCTGTTTCTATTGGTATAAAAAGCAAAGCTCTCACTGATATGGATAAAAGGCAGCGATGCAATGGAGCAAATAAAAACCGATTGTATTGACAGTAGGAAAAATGCTCTTCTGGCTTTTTCCTTTCTCCGTTGTTGTGGAAGCTCCCACCCTGCAAACGGCAATCTCCTGTTACCCTGAACTTTGCAGCGCTTTCAACCTGTGAACCATGTCTACATTTCTTCTGGATTGGGACCCACAAGCTGCTGGCCAGAGCTGATGTGGTTAGCAGTTGATCAGCTCCCCGTTGCTGATTCAAGCCTTTATCTTTTCCTGCTGGATGGGATTGTCCCTCAACAGCTCCTCTCTATGGACAAGAAACATGTCCTAGGGTTAAATTGCTAGTTACCCAATCTCTCTTGATGCACCTTTATAGGGTTACGTCTGTTGCAAACTCCTATTATTTTCAGAATGTATAAGTAAGACTATATAGTCTCAGTTGTGGCTGAAAGATGGAGACACAAAATACTCATTTTTGTAAGAAAAACTCGGAAGCTTCCTTGGAAATGAGTGGAAATAACTATAACCTGTCACGAAGGACCTGTATGAGCCAGTCGGACTCAGAGCCTGAGAATTTTTTTTGTTGTTTTATTTCTTAGCTAATAGTATGTGTAACTTCTATGTAATATAGATGCTACAGTATATACTACAGTATGTACTATTACTACTATAGTATTTTATAGTTCTATATACTGTAACCCCATGGGGGCTAGGAGGGGAGAGGAATGAGACTGAGACATGTTGACGGATATAGCATCAACATTATGAGATAGCATAATGGAAATGTCTAATTGAAAATCTCATTTGTCCTCACTGCTTACTGATCCTGGGGGCTGGAAGAAACCCATCTTACAGTAATATGGTCCGGTGGTGACTCGGGAGGTCCCGCAGCACTTCACCTGCATTTCTGCTGTAGTCCTGGTTCGGGAGGACATGTGGAGCAGCAGCATGAAAAGCCTTTGCTGAAGGAGAAGACCCTCATGCTTCCAATAAAATGTTTATTTCTCTTGCACATAAATCACATAACATATAGGAGATTATATTTTTTTCAAGAAGCAACTGTGGTTGTCATTTCTCTAGCAAGGCTGTACTCCATT